ATATAAGTTTATAATGTTTATGTCTTCTTGACAGATTCTTCCTTTAAGTATTGTAGAGTGTCCCTCTGGGTCTCTTTTTGGCCTTTGTTTTGAAATCTACTTTGTCTGATACAAGTATGGCAACCCTGGCCTTTTTCTCTTGTCCATTTGCTTGGAATATTTTTTTTTCCATCCGTTTCCTTTCAATCTGTGTAGGTCTTTTGCTCTGAGGTGGGTCTCTTGTAGGCAGCATATGTGTGGGTCATGTTTTCTTCTCCATTCAGCTATCCTGTGTCTTTTGATTGGGGCATTTAGTCCATTTACATTGAGAGTTACTACTGATAGAAACTTATTCATTTTTTCTCACTGTACTTGTGTTTTTCTCTTTCTCAGTCTTTTCCTTCATCTTCTTAAACCAGTCCCTTTAGCATATCTTGTAGTGCTGGTTTGGTAAAGAGGTATTCTTTTAGCCTTCTTTTGTCTGGGAAACTCCTTATTTCCCCTTCTATTTTAATTGAGAGCCTTGCCGGGTAGAGCAGCCTTGGTTGTAGGCCCTTGCTTTTCATGACTTGGAATATTTGTTGCCATTCCCTTCTGGCTTGTAGTGTTTCTGTTGAGAAGTCAGCTCCTAGGTGTATCGGGGCCCCCTTGTATGTTACTTTCTGCTTCTCCCTTGCTACCTTGAGGATTCTCTCTTAGTCTTTGATAGTTGCCGTTTTAATGATGATGTGTCTTGGAGTGGACCTCCTTGAGTCCCTGTTGAGTGGGGTCCTCTGTGCCTCCTGGATCCATGAGACCTTTTCTCTCCTCAGATCGGGGAAATTTTCCATCATTACTTTTTCAAAGTGGCTCTCTATCCCTTGCTCCTCTTCTTCTCTTTCTGGTATCCCTATTATGTGGATATTATTGCGTTTCAGGTTGTCCTGCATTTCCCTAAATGCCTCTTCATTCTTTTTGAGTCTTTTTTCCATTTCTTGTTCTTTCTGGGAGCTTTTTTCTACCTTATCCTCCATCTCCCTGATTCGATCCTCGGCTCCATCCAGCCTGCTTCGGATTCCTTCTCCTGTGTTCTTCAATTCAGAAATGGTATTCTTCATATCCTCTTGTGTCTTCTTGATAGTTTCCATGTCCTTTTCCAGGTTGCTATAGTTTGCTGCAAGATCCTGATAGTTTCCCTGCAGTTTCTCATAGTTCTCTTTGAGCTGGCTGAGCTCATTGAGCTTCCTTAGAGCCATTGTTTCGAATTCAATATCTGATAGTTCCCTTGCCTCTGTCCCTTTAGCTCTCTCTGTGGGGATTCCCCTTTTCCACTCATTTGGGGGAGAACTTCTTCTTTTTCCCATTTTTGTGAGAGTCTATTAAGTAATTAATTAATTAATTAATTTTTTTTTTTTGCTTCTGCTTCAATTGATCCGTCTTGGTTTCCTGCCTTCGTGGATTAAACTTCTATGGTGGTAGGCGGGTTTATTTATTTATTTACTTATTTATGTATGTATGTATTTATTTATTTTTCCTTTTCTTTCTAGGCCTGCCTCTGATGATGTCAGTTGTTGATGCTATATGACCTTGGGTCATTTGTTTGAGCTTTCCAGGAGTCTATTGTCTGTGTCTGTCCTCTGCTTTGGGCAGCTCTGGGACCCCTTCGGCCATGGATCCACTATTTCTGTGGACCGCGTTGTATTCGCCGGCCATCTGGCTCCCGCGTGTCCGCTTCTGCCTGTTTGGGGGCGCGTCCTACCTGTGCAAAATGGACACTACGGAATGGGGAGGGAGTCGGGACTTCCCGGTTCCTCCTCCTGTTCTTTCTTCAACGCCTCCGTCTCCAGTCTCTCCTCAAGGCTCTCTATGAAGCTGTGTGACCCCTTTGGCCAGTGATCCTCTATTTCTTCCAGCTTGTCTGCACTTAGCCCTCCAGCTCACACACGCACAAGCTGTGTGCAGAGTGCACAACAGGCAGGTTAATTGATTCCCTTCTGCCTGAGCGAGATGGTAGCTGCAGAGTGGGAGGTGAGTTATCACTGGGTCTCCGCCGGCCACCGTCTCAGTTCTCTTCACAAAGTTTTCCTCACCAATCTTTTCCCAGGCACCAGCCCACTCTGCTGCTGCCTCAACCCAGAGATCAAGGAGGGTGGCTGCCACTGCAATTTTTGCGTTGGCCCTTTAAATGTCTCTTTGCATCCCCAGCCGCCTGTCTCTGGCAGAGAGTGCCCCTAAGCTTTTCAAGTTGTGTTTTGTCTGTGTGTTTTCTTGGTTTCCGCTGCTACAGTCTAGGGGTCCCTGTTTATGGTTCAGACGCTGTTCTTCTCAGGGGGATCCAACTGGCCGTTTCAATGTCCTTCTGGTGCTGGTGCCCGTGGGCACCCAGCCCCCCCTCTCGAGCCTCCACCGCACTTCTCACCCGTTGGTATGTGTGAGAGTTGAACGCACTGTCTGTCCGTGGCTCCAAGGTTCCTCTCCCTCTGTCGTTCCATTGTTTTCCAGGTGATTTCTCCACTATTTAGTCACAATTCCAGTTTGGTCTTGGGAGGAGGTCAGCGTGACTCTCATTCACTCCTCTGCCATCTTCAAATCTCTCTATATATGATTTTCTAATTCCATCAGTCCTACCTCTGACAACTGTCTATTTACCGAATCCTAGTCGCATACCAGCTTCATGATTCAAACCCCAGACTCAAAGGACCATGAAGCTGTATGTCTCATATGTCTCACTTTTAATGGAATTTAATCACTGTCTTAAGATGGTCTCAGTCCGGTCTCACAAAAATAACTTCCCCCATTCAACTTTCACCTAATAGTTCTAGAATCTTTTGAGTAATGTTGCCTAGACACACTGTTTCATTAGAGTTTGCAAACTGGCGATATTCTAAACTTATCATTAATTTGGCATTTATTACCTGGAATTTTTCTTTTTAAACATTTTATTCTTGTTTACTCTGTTACAGTTGTCCCAATTTCCCCCCTTGCCCTCTTCCATCCTTCCCCATCCCCTGCTCCCACAGTCCATCCCACCCCAATGTCCATGTCCATGGGTCATTCATCCATGTTCTTTCACTAGTCCCTTCCCCTGCTTTCCACCATTCCCTCTCACCCCCACGCCACTGGCAGCTGTCAGTGTGTTACCTGTTTCCAGGTCTCTGTTTCTGTTTTGCTCATTAGTTTATTTTGTTCATTAGATTCCTTTTATACGTGAAATCATATGGTATTTGTCTTTCACCAACTGGTTTATTTCACTTAGCATAATAGTCTCCAGTTTCACCCATGCTGATGAGAAGGGAAGGAATTCCTATATACAAAAGAATTTCCCATCTTAGACTATTTGTTAATTCTAGAATACAGTTCATACAGGGAAGGTTGTATAAACTGTATTTTAGATAAGCGATAGATTTTTAACATTTTATCAATATTCAGAATAAGTTCATGCAGTAGCAACATCCAATGTTGTCTAATGAAGTTTTTGCTTTTGAAATATCGATATAAGTATACTTTTTAAAGAGTAATATTTTAATCAATTTGAAATATTGTTTTTAAATTTTATTTAATTTTTATTTCTTAATTTTATTTATTTATTTTTAGAAAGAGGGGGGAGAAAGGGAGAGAAACATCAATGTGTGGCTGCTTCTCATGTGCCCCCACCGGGGACCTGGCCTGCAACCCAGGCACATACCCTTCCTGGGAATCAAACTGGCGATCCTTTTGTTTGCAGGCCGGTGCTCAATCTACTGAGCCACAACAGCCAGGGCTAATTTTATTTTTAATTACAGTTTATTTTATTTGCAACATGTATTAATTACAGCAATACATGTTGCATTGGTTTCAGATGTACAACACAATGGCCAGACAATCAAACACACAGCAAATTGTTTCCCCAGTTGTACCAGGATACAACTGGCACCACACATAATCATCACAACACTGTTGGACACATTTCCAATGCTGTAGATTACATCCTTGTGACCATTTTGAAACTACCAACTTGTACTTTTGAATCCCTTCACCTGTTTTACCCAGGCCCCCGACACCCCTCCCCTCTGGCAAACCATCAGTCTGTTCCCTGTATCTAGCACCGTAGACATTGTTAAAAATTTCATTTTGTATTAGTCAATAGTATTATAATTACTATGTATGGAGCCAGGTGGGTACTAGATTTATCAGGGTGATCATGCTGTCAGGTACATAAATATCTAATCACTGGGCTGTACACCTGAAACTAATACAATATTGTACATCCACTGTAATTGAAAAATAAAAAAAAATTTAAAAAGAATAAAAGGCAACAATAATGATAATGCCGAGGAGGTGTTTTCTGAGTGTTGAATTTTATTTGCACCAGGCTTATCCAAAATCAGGTACTCAAACTGATGCCGCAAAATGGGTCTGTTCAGTTTGGGGAATATGTCTTATTGATCTTTGTATCTCCTTGCCGCTTAACACAATGCCTTTCTCCAGAAAGAAGGTTAATCGAAGCTTTTTTTATTATTACATATTGTAAGGTTCAAATTTTATTCTCCATGAATGAAATCTCAGTTGGTAAAATATGAATCTGTACAGTGTGAGCGAGTGTCTGCATTCAATACCAGCTCAAGCAGCCTGAGACAAAGAGATGGTTGTTTTTGTTTCGTTTTGTCTTGTAACCTTTGTGTGCACCTCCTAATGGTTACATCCAGGGACTTTCCCAGGCTTTCTCATTGCATCTTTCGGGTACTGTCCCTGACTTTCTGGGAATGAGGCTCTGAAGTGGCTGACTCTCTTGAGTGTGGCCTACCCTCTCGCCACAAGGGGGGCGCTTGACTTCCCATGAGGAGATGGTGGCAGTGGAGTTGGGTGGAGAGGTCAAGGTCAAAGGTCACATCCTGTTGCTGTGTGCAGTCTGAGGTAAGACAAGTCAGTCAGGGACTGCTTTACTCAAAATGGCTTTAAATTTTAACGACCCAGCCTGTGGCTTCTCTTATAGGGAGGTTGTAGATTTTATAAATAATAAAATACTTCAAAATGGAGGTAGTCCCTACTTCTACCTGAGGCACATGGGTGAGTCCTGGGGTGATACTGAGAGGAAGTTGAGGGATATCCTGACTGACTCAGCAATATCAGGAGCCAGGAAGAATGCTTATGCCTGGAGCACCTTGGCCCTGGCAGTGCGCTTTGCAGAGAGGCAGAGGCAGGAAGACAAAGTAAAGGTAATAAAGCTCCAGAGGCAGCTTGAGGAGCAGAAGCTGCTCAATGACGCCTTGGTCGGGATGGTGAATAGACTCAGGGATACACAAGAAAGCGAGAGGGGCAAAACTCAGTCACAACTTCAACAAAATCTCACAGTCCTTCGTGGGGTACAGGCAGAACGAGATGCGATGAGGAACGTGCTTCTTCAGGTGGTAGGTGCTCAGTCTGAGAAGCAGAAAGGGGCTGAGGAAGAGGACAAGAAAAAAAAGACAGAGACAGGTATGCTTACTTTTGGTCAGGCTGCGGCAGGTTATGGGGGGGCAAGCAACGAGGCACTGAGGGGACTAGGCCAAGAGATTGCTGCTATCCCTACGGCGGCTGTTGCTCCAGGGACTGCTGCTGTAAGGAGAGAGGCAAAGGAAGAGAAAGGGATTTCTGTCTGTGAGAACAACAGCCATGTAGCGATTTCTCCTTCCTCTGGGTCCTTGGGGGCCCAGTCCCTGGCTAGTCAACTGCAACCCCTGGATCTCTCAGTATCCTCTCACTCATTCCCACCTACTGTGTCTCCCCCAGGAGCAGCAGCAAGAGCTGCAGCAGGTCTCACTCTGAAAAATTTCAGAACTAGAAGGACGCGTAAGCGTTATGGTACCAGTAAGTTCTTGCCAGGAAGACCTAAGAGACAGCCTGGCCTCTATCACTCTGCAAGCCGTAAGGTTAGGCACAGAGCTGGAGACTGGGACTGTGACCTGTGTCATTCGATGAATTTCTCACGGCGAAATAAGTGTTTTAAATGTAACAAACCCCGGCTCCCAAGGGGAAGTGAAGGCTCTGCCCCCAATTAGAGACCTCACTGAATGTTGACAAATTCATTTCCTGACATCCTTTTCTGATTTAGAAAAAGAAAAAGAGCATGTTCTTGATTAGACGTTATGTAAACAGACAAGCAAAAAGGAATAAGATATGAAGATCATCTTAAACCTCGCCACTCAAACAATTAGCATTTTTACCTATTTACTTTCAGTTCTGAGTAGAATTACATGTGTGAGTTATAATAAATAATTATATTAAATAGTTTTCTTATGAAAATATAATCATTGTGAAAATTACGTTTATCACTTAAAAATGTTCTCTTATTGATTTGATAGATTTTGATAAAACACAGGGAGAAAATACAAGTAGGAACAAAAAATAACAAAGAATACCATGACTTAGAAACAATCTTTAGAGCCCAGTTCTGCCAGTCGCACAATTGTTTGCAGACAGACCTACACACATGAATCACAAATGTATATGCACGCAAAAACATGCTATTTTTATTTCTAAAATGGGATCAAACTGAACATGTATTTTGTGACTCTACCTTAAAAAAATTACATTCATTTACATTTGAAAAATTCAGGGACACACATGTATAACCATAAAATGATAATTCAACCACCTGGAATCAATTCCTCCAATATTCAGTTGAACATATTTTCAACCCTTCATATATATTTTTTTAATTAACTTTTTCTTATTTCTAAAGTAAGAAACAGCAGAGAAGCAAAAGATGAAAATAAATTTTACGTATAATCTTATTATTCAGAAAACCATTATTTTTCCTAGATACCTATTATTTTTTTTAAGTTTACATATTTAATGTTAATAAAATGTCAATAATGTTAAGCTAAGTATATATGCATATTATTTTTAAGTTTTTATATAAAGCTTAAAAATAACGTGTTTATATTTAGCTTAACATTATTCCCCATCTTTTGTTGAGTGGTGCTATTTATTAGACATGGCATTCATTCTTTAAATGGGTCTGCTGGAGATTACTTTTGTAAATTTATTTTTTCTTTCTTTGGGCCATTCAAAGAACCAGCTGTTACTTTTATTTATCAGTTCCATTACTTGCATACTGTCAAATTCATTCATTCTTCTCCCATCCTTTCTACTTTCTTGAGGATTTGTTGTTGTCATTTTTGTTTTCCATCTAAGTTCTTGATTTTATGTTCAGTCGATTTATTTATGTGTTTTGTGTAATGTTTAAAGATGAGGAATTAATGTTTAAAGATGAGGTTAAAGATGAGGAATGCCATACAAAGCATATGTCTGTATATAAGTTTGTGTGTGTGTGTGTGTGTGTGTGTGTGTGTGTGTATACACCATCCACACACACATATTTGTTTCCTCTGCTTTGGGATTCTAATTCAATACTCCTAGTTAAAATGGTAAAAATTGAGAGGGGGGGATTTTACTTGGTAAACGTTTTTACCATGTTTTCTGACTACATTTCAACTCTGTGGTGGGTGTGCAATCACCACAGACTGCAAAATTGGGGGAACAAGCATGGTGTATTTGAACCCATGCAAAGATTAGGACATTTGCACTGTTTTTGCAAGAACTTTCTGAGTCTTCCATGTTTATTTTGATGCAGAACAAACCTTTTGAAATACATAAAAATGTCCGCAATTGTTGTGTGGCTTTTAGGGAGTACTCAGTATCAGGTGGATGTCATAATAATCAGAACGTACTGTAATCCAGTTTGTGCATTTTAAGACACCAATGTTGTGAAAACTTATAAGAAACCATAGAAATTAATCCACAGAAACTCACTGCTTGGGAAGCTTAAAAGTTGTGATAGTAAAAGGATTTTTCCTATTGATTCTTGATAGGAATGTCATTGGGTTTTCTGATATTTTAGGTTGCTTTGTGGGAATTTAAGATGATGAAACACTCGGGTAATGGATCAAAGTTCTATATAGCTAAGAGCCACTGAAATATTCACGTTCACTCCTCAAAATTATCTGTGGGGGCAACAATCAGAATGGAATAGCACTAATAAAATAGTTGCGATGGGGGGGAAATTCTGTGTTCAAAATTAGGGACTTAAATAAAGAAATATAGATCTGCATTCTGGCTAATAAAAATAAAAATTAGGGAGGTTTTTTTCCCTTTAATCAGAAAATGTCTTTATTTTAAGTTTTATTTTTCAATTACAGTTTACATTCAGTATTATTTTATATTAGCTTCAGGTGTACAGCACAGTGGTTAGACAATCATATACTTTACAAAGTGTGCCCCTGCCCCAATATTTCAAGTACCCGCCTGGCACCATATATAGTTATTACAGTATTACTGATGCTATTCCCAATGCTGTACTTTACATCCCCATGACTATTCTATAACGACCGATTTGTACTCCTCAATCCCTTCATTTTTTTAACCAAGTCCCCCAACTCTCCTCCACTGAGGCAACCGTCAGTCTATTCTCTGTAAAAACTAGTAAGATGTTAAAAAGAGCCTTGAAAGCCAGTAGTTTCATGTTTTCCTTTCAATTCATATATACTACAGAATGTTACTAGACTTTATCTGTGATACTAGGTCATCTGTGCTTTTAGATTTCTTACTCTTCCCTTGGAGGTAGGCTTTCCAGCAAAATTCAGGATGTCCAGTTAAATTTGAAGTTCAGAAATGAATGACAGATTTTGTTTTAAAATAAGTATGTACCAAATATTGCATGTATTTTTATTTGCTAAGCCTGACAACACTATCTGGAGGGAGACTGGCACTTACTTTCCTCAAATGAAAATGGTACAGGTGATCCTGGAAGAGAAGAGCACTTAGAGCTGTACAGTTTGGAGGAAATTCCAGGATCCGCGGTTGAAGAATCAAAAAGAAGAAAAAGAAAGTGGAAGCTTCTGAACATTCATCAACAGTGAAATCTAAATGCATGAGTTGAGTGTGACAATATATAGCATGGTGTGGCAGTCATGATTGGTGGAAAGGGATTTGGAAAAGGTAGAGATAAATTGGAAATACATGCTCTTGCCCTGGAAGTCTCTTGCTCTGTCACTACGATTGCCTAAATAGTCTCTAAAACCGCCTTACCCATTATCAGTAGCATTGTGGAAAATCTGTGCTGTACCCTGGCGCCCAGATTTTGGCTCCTTAAACTATTCTCCATTAAGAGGAACCAGGGCTCCTTGGAGGATGGCTGGCACCAAATCTTGGGGCAGGAGAATGCAAGATGAGCCTGGAACATCTTGCCATTCACAGAAAGCGAGAATGCTGACTGGGGGTACAAAAGACAAAGAGACCCGAAGAAGGCTGTCATCAAACGAAGTGACATATTGAGCATTAAGAAAGACGCCTGCCTGAAGAAGTGCCTCACTGGGCAAAAAGTGAAACTGAGCATCAAAAAAAGAAAATAAGTAACAACTACAATCAATTGAAACAGTTGAGTCCATTAAAAAATAAACCCATGGAGATACTGAAAGTGTGCAGGTAGTGTAAAGCATGCAAAAAGATGCTTGTAATGCACACAAGTAGTTCCAATATTGTCTATAAAAATGCTATATATTGGTCGATCCACTCTATGCAACCCCTGCACTCAACGTTTTTGTCAATGAAGAAGTTCACACCAATGGTGGAGACATGTGGAGTGCATGAATAATTAATATATAAAAAGATAGTAGTTTCAACTTGAAGAGGAGAAGATGTGGGGGAATGCAAGGGTGAGCTTCTTTTTGTAAAGAGATATTATAGAAAGACATATACAACAAGTGGGAGTAGTACTCTTCAGAATGAATATGCGCTATTTTGGATTTTGAGAATCTGTTGGGCTAGAGAGTTTGTAAAAGCTTTAAAATATGTTGCGTATTGTATTATTAGAAACAAAATGTTATAAATTTGTGGATTTAACAAGATTTCCTGGGCAGTGAAATATATGAAGACACATAAGAAGTAAGATGCTGGATTGTTTTCATTTTTGTGACCACATATTGAGCTTGCATGCTCAAGAGTATTTTTTTAGTATGGTGCTTGTCCGACGTTCGTCAAGATGGTGTTATCATAGCTAGCATAAATAAACCAGTTATTGTGACTACACATTGCCTCATGTGCTCTGTGTTGCTATTGCCACATGGAAAGAAACTTAGAGGGGGGAGGGTAGAGGCAACGTATCTGTGCTACATTAGTTCTCTTAAAAGCTGGACATCCACTGCCCCCCCCCAAAAGTTGAACACCCATGAAGTCTTTTTCTCTGTCTGCTCCCTTCCATCAAATATCAATAATGTATGATTTGGTTTGTGTCTAGTAACAAGAGAAAGGGTCCAGGCTGTAATATGTCTTGGGTTCTGAGATAACAAATTTATCATGGGAAATTTTGGAACTTGGTTTTTAGGTTGTAAATTTATTGAAAGCTCTTTTAGTCTGGGAAATCGCCTGATTTATCTATACTTTTGCAGGTATGGGGCCAGTGTTGGGATATTTTTGTGTCCTAGTAATTAAAGCATTTAGGCAAGTTATAATAGATGATTGACTTGGGGTCAGAATATTCAATCTCTAGATGCTTCTACAAACAAGGAGGAGGTGTGTAGATTTGAGCTCCTCTGGATATGAGAGTGCACAGCTAGTACTACCCCCTCCCATTTTATTCTTTCTTTTGGATTCAGTGAGCTATATAGCCAGGATAATAAACAGCATGTATTTTTTCCACCTGTATTCCATGTCTTGATGGAAAATCAGTTGCAAGTATACTTCTCCCCAACCCCAGCCCCCTCCCCAAATTCCCTCAAACTGATTTACACAATTCAATCTCGCTAAGACAAGGTGCGTGTCAAATAGGGCTACGATCTCATTTGAGACTGGGAATTCTTCTCCAAACTCATTCAGATGGCTGGTCGAATTTAGTTTCCTACAGTTGTACATGGGCTCCATGGAAGTGGGGTACATATGTGAACAACTGTTCATAGCTTTTGCCTAATTCTGAATCAGAATTTTAATCTTATTTTCAATATTGTTACTGCCACAATATCTTGCATTGAAAACATGTCCATTGATTATCTTTGTCAGTGTC